GTGACTGTTCTTGCGTCGCAGTCAGGATCTGAAGCCAAGCCTTCGGTGTCCAACACGGCAACCCGTTTAGATGTCAAGCATGCAGGTATCAGTGCATTTGTGAACTTCAAGTGGCAGACCCCTTTTCGATGTTACAAGAAGGTAGACAAAAGGAAACCAACCAGTGAAGGGAGGTCGTCGTTTTGGAGGACGACACGCGTGAGCAAAGGTGTTCAGAAGGCGTCAGGGACTTCTTTTTGGGACGTGTGCAGTCCACAAGAGAGTCCGGCAAAGGGGTCTACGATTTTACTAAATATAACAAGCCCGGGTGCATTGTTCAAAGGCTGAATTGTTCAAAGGCTGAATGCATGAACCCATAATTTATACATGAACCCCATGCTATAAACTGTAGTTTATGTGTTCAAGTCTGTTTAATTCATCATCTTATGTTAATAGTTAATACGGCTCATCATGACAAATCAATTATGGCATGAACCCCTAGACGGTAGACAATGGTTCAACCTTGTCAAGTCATTGCTTACCCCGCCTAAGTTCAAAGATTGCCCTGTCAGGCAGCTGCAGATCACTCACATTGTGAATGTGACTACAGCGGCGGACCCGGCGAGGTTTTTTAAAGGGTTTTTCAACCCGAGGCGCTCCTAGATCAAGCCACAAGCTGTTACTGTTGTGTTTTGTGTTTCCTTTTGCCAGGGGCCAAACTTCTGCCCCAACGCCAAGCGCTGGTGTTGGCCGTCCCCCATGAACCGGCGCAATCACGCCTCAAGTGCTCTCGGCCGAGGCAGCAAATGTCTTTGAAGGCAGCTTTGTTTACCACAAGATCCCAATCGAGGACTCGGGATTCGACTCGGTACTCGGACGGCCATTTGTGAGACCGTGGACCCCTGGAGCACAGGAGAGGCTAATCAGATGCTGCAAATTGTTTGCTGCCTCTGCGAATTTGCTGGGCCGGACTTTGAGCGGCTATGTCCAGATGTTTTCTAGTTGGTGTTCACTGGAAATGAACAATGGCAAGTATGACCGCCTTTTGGATAGGCAGCACGGGTCATTAAGACCCCACGTGCGTCCATTTGGAACAGACCACGAAGTCGTTCGGAGTGGCGGCTGCTTTGAATTCAGGTTTCCACATCCCAACATAGAATTTGAACCTACTCCGAAAAGCCACGAGGTCATGAAGGGTTTGGGGGAAGTCCATAAAAGGAGCAAACAAGGAAGCCCTCAACATTCGTCGGGTTCTCGCAGGAACGATTGACGCTTGAGCCTGTTGCCATGATTGCAGAGGTCCGAGGCTGCAGACTGAAAGAGATCGTGGTTTGTGTCCGAACCATTCTGCAGGGTAGGAGGGCCCTATGCAGAGGATGACCGCTCTGAAGACTTGCTGGCAGTTCTGGAGCCGGCCTTGCTTTTCATGCACCGCGCACTCAGCGCGCGCCTAAGGCCCCACAGCGGGCGGCTTCATGTGCCATCACAGTTTTCTCGGAAGCCACACCCTTCTTTTGGGCTTCATTCAGCAACCATTTGTTGAAAAGCAACAACATACCAACTGTGAATGAATTCTTTAGTTTGAAGTTTGAAGACATGAGGGGCAATTGCATCAAACATGCGGTCGCGCTTTCTACAGACGTATTCCTACCCAACCTGCCCGATACCTCAACAAGCCTACAATTTGAAGCCTGAGTTGGAAAGTCCAGTTATGGGGTTGGTCCTGTCAGTGATCATGACTGGGGAGATACGCGGAGCACGGGAATGGCACTTGTCTACAAACAATGTCCGCATGGATCCGCAGAGTATGGAATCTTCGTCTGTGTGGTTCCTTTTTCGTCGTCGGCAACAACAAATTCGGCTGAGCATAAATTGTTGACGCAGCGCAACTTCAGCTCTCCAAAGAGCCACCCCTGAATTCAAGCCGCAGATTTGCATGCACCGCTATATTTAGAGCCTCAGGCTCACCCCCTACTCCGGACACGGGGGGGTCCCCCACGTACCGCGCAGCAATTTGATGACATTCTGCTAAAATAGTCTTGGGGGATCCAGTGTGGCAAAACAGGGGTCCCAGGCTCGAATTCCCCCTACCGGGTCTTTTCTGGTTCGGGTTTTCCGCCTCCTTTTGCCGAAAACCTGGAACAACTCGTTGTTTTTGACATACTTTTTGCGAAACCATTGACAACTACCTGCAAGGGAAGTGCAGGGAAATAAAGGTGGTATGAGGGGACATGAACGGGAAATAAAGGGAAATGCAAGCACATGCATGGGACAGGAAGTGGAAGTGAAAGGAAAGCAGGGGGAAATGAAAGGGAAACGAAGAGGAACCGAAAGGGAAATCAAGGGGAAAGGAATGAGAGTGAAGGGGGAATGAAACAATGGACAAGGAAATTAGAGGACACGAAGGGCGATGAAGGGAGATGAAGGGAAATGACTGGCAATGACAGGGACATACATGGAACATGTAGCGGACATAGCGATAAAATGACGGGACATGAAAAGGACATGACGGATACATCAAGGGGAAAGCCAGTAGCACGAAGACAATTCAGGGGTCCTGAAAAGGCAGTGCACTGAAATCGAGGCAACTCAGGGGGCACATGACGCTGCAATGCAAACAGAGGGAGATACAGACAGAGAGAGAGAGAGAGACAGAGAGAGAGAGAGAGAGAGAGAGCGAGCGAGGGAGGGAGGGAGGGAGGGAGGGAGAGAGGGAGAGAGAGAGGGAGGGAGGACGAGGGAACAAAGGGGGGGAAGGGAGAGGAGCGAGAGGAAGGCGGCGAAAGGCAAGACGCCAATGTCTTTCTTAGGTGTCTGACAACCTAGGCCCCGGCCCGACAACATTTGCTCCCCCCCAAAGATTCAAACCGCAGAAATAGGGCAACAAGAAAACGAGGAGAGAAAGCAACAAACCGCACAAGATCAACACCGGCACTAAGCACATTGAGAATAAGCCTTCAGCGCATCAAAGCAACTTCCAAAGTAGACCCGCCCACTGCAAATTGATCGCTTGTTGCCCGACGGTCACGCCGCTCCCGAGGGTGGGGGGGGATAAGGGGCGGGGGTTCATTTCCAAGCCTAGTGTCGCGACGCTTCGCGCGATTGATGTTGTCGCCGGCGCGGATTCCAGCACCGATCATTGCGCAGTGTCCATCACGTTCCATGCCAAAGCTGCTTTGCGAAGCCTGTACTATATCTTCTGCGCCGCCAGTCAAAGACCCTGCAGGTGTCTTCATCTTCAGGCTCGTCAACTTCAAGTTTAGCTTCAACATTTGACAAGCAACAAAAAAGCTACGAAGCCACTTCTCCACGCCTTTCGGATCCAACCCTTCCGCAAAGTGGTGGCGCGAAGCCTGCAGCGGCGCGCGAGCAGTTGCCCCGAACCTTAGAAGACACTGCTCACCTGGGCTGATCTCATGTCAGCTGTGGGCAAGCAAAGTTTCGGCTCCGACCCGCTAAGTGAAAAAGGCTCTCACTGACCTAACCTAATCCTGATCAGAATGACACACAGTACGATCCTCGAAAACTGGCGCGGGTGCCTCCCTGGAATTCCACTTCCTGCTTTTTCGCCGCAAAGCGTGGCAATTCCGGACTACTGACTGCTTGCTTCATTGCCACGTGCCTCAAAGAGAGGCAAGGAAAGTGAAGGGCTGCGTGACCGGCTCTAGGGAGAGCCTTCCGGCGCCCTCCAGCACACGTGAATCAAAGGCATTACAGCGCATTAAAGAACTTTCACGTTGCACCGTTTGGGCGGGAAAGACACGGGCATGTCTTTTGGAGTATTATTTTTTTGGGGCACCATGTTTTCAAAAGCGAACACGTTCACTTTTGGGGAGTTGCCAAACTCGGAGACAAATTCACACAAGCCAGGGATATTACAAACACAAAACACCTCAAGAAGCAGTTCGCTCAAGCTGCCGCATTTGACCCCAAGGCGTAAGAAGCCTTCTGTCGGGACAGGCGTCCTTTCTGGTTTGGTTTCACTTGGTTTTGCCTGATTCGAGGCCCGATAAAAACCCGGTGGCATCCATGAAAACAAGCCCAATGGGAGGGGAGCCCTTGAGGCAATGACGCGCGAGTGCTGGTCCATTGCCGTGAGGGGGCGTCGAGGCAGACGTCCGCTTCACTGGGTTGTTGATGGGGAGATTCTCAAAAGCAGGAGCCAACTCTTGCTGATTTTGTTCACTGTTGCCTCATGTTCCCGTTTCTTTGTCAGATGTTTGAACCAAGCGCGGAGATCATGTTGCTAGGCCATCGCCATGTATGCAGAATTTCGCGGGAGACTCGCGACGAGCCTCCGGAACTCCGTGGAAAATCCGCGGAACAAGTCGCAACCACTTTGCAAGTAAACCTTTTCTGAAGACATGAGCCTTCTTTGTGCTGATTCCAGAAACATCAGGAGTATCCGGGTATAAGTATATATATGGGAGTTGTTCTAAAGGTCCTTGTAAGGAATTTAGATTTCGGCGACCACCGGTGTTGGTTGAGGTAGCTCCGCGAAAGATTCGCGATGGAGTTGCGAAAGTAACTTTTTTTCTCGCGAAAGTTTTGCGTAACTGTATCTTGTAAATCAATGATATGTGAAACCATTTATATTTGCTACTGAGCCTTCCTTCCAATCTGATTAAAACACTTTGTTGACTTTGCACTGATAAAGTGATAAAGCCAGGTGAGGCTACAGTTTGATACCCTGCTTGGCTGGTTAGTTCTCCAAGCCTGTGTATGTGCGCCTGTGGGTGTTTAGTCGGTGGCTTTCCGCTCTGAAACGTGGGTGATTTTTCGCGAAAGTTCCGCGAGAGATCCGCGAAAGCCCGCGCGAAAGCGCAGGCTTCGATTGCAAGGGGAGGTGCTTTCTGAGCGTCGCGCTAGTTAGTATACTAGCTTGGTACTGGAAACTTGCGACTTTAAGCTAGAGCTGCACGGCTTACGAAAAGCTGCGACTTTCCAGCAGGTTCATGTCATGTACTAACCCTGTGATGAAAAGTTGCGACTTTACAGCTGGAGTTGGGGAATTGCATTTCGCGCACCACGCTGGCACTTAAAAGCTGCGATTTTCTGACTTGAGCAATGAAAACGGCACGGCGATGAATCCGCGAAAGATTCGCGAAAGTAACTTTTTTATTCGCGAAGAATGGCCGTTTCGAGACAAAGGAATTTAGAACAACCACCATATGATATATGTATGCACGTATAGAATTACCTGAGGCCTCACCTTGACTGGCAATCATTACCTAGATCTATGTGTGTGTTGTTTTTTTCATATGCGTATAGCTATATACCCACAGCACTCATGGTTCGTCGTCGCTGCATCCGCAAACGCCGTACCACCATGCACCCGACGTGCTGCTGGGATTTGCGCACCGCGTGCAATGGGGAGAATTCGGCATTGTGCGACGCTTTCCGGGTGGTTGAGCGCTCTAGTGATTTGCACACTCGTGGCCGTGCCAACTTTGAAGCAACAGCAGTGTACCCAACAAAACGCAGGAACCGAATTACAAAGGGACCCCCGAAAGGTTTCACATTGCATTGCTTGAAGATAAAGGACCTCTCAGTTAGAGTTTGGATGCATGTTGCATTGACACAAATTGAGCAAGCAATTGAAGGTGTGTGACTGCAACATGGCCCAACTCCATGGCCATTGGGGCCTGCTGGCTTCCCGAAATCAAGCGGAGGGTTGAACCAGACGTTTCTTCGAGTTTGAACCAGCCCAAGAATTATGACAGTTTACAAAGGCGTGGGTCACTGTGATACAAAAAGGCAACTTTGGTTTTGAGGATTCACACGGGCTATGTACGCATGATAGCAGGTTGGGCTGGGATTCAACTGGCGTCCTTTCGTGGTATCCGTGACCTCAACAAGTGGCAACACCGCTCCGAATGATTGAGGCCATGCTGTTTCATGCCTGTCGCCGAGAGGATTTGCACCTCTCCGACAGGTCAGTGTCAATCGTCGCAGCATACACGATGAGGCAGGCTTGCCGTAGCTTGGAATTCGATTCCGTACACTTGGGCTGTACTATGGGCCCTCTGGTCCTTTCCTGGTTGCCACCTGAATGGCTTTGGTAACGTGCCTTGGTTTCTAAATTCATACAGGGTAAGCCTCCAAACAAAACTGTGGCGTACGCATAGATCTATACTTTGAAATGTCAATATTACATTATAATGGGAAATGCACGCAAACACTGACACAACTCTTCGGTCCGCAGGTACCCTCATGAGGAAATAACAATAATACTAGCCCTCATTGCAGGATTTGCGGGTTTGCTCGTTGTCTGGGTTGCGTATCCCCTTTAAAATGCACTCCCTTGGTTCCTGAAGTTTCTCTTTCTTGGAAAGGCCGTTTCAGTAGTATTCTAAGCACAGGTTGTTTTTTCTCCGGGAAATCCACTCGAAAAGTGCGGCAACGACCAAACCCGAGGGCGTCCTGCGTTTCTTCGTAAGTGAGTCAAAGGCTTCGCAGCTCGCAGGTTCGAGCATCTCCCCTTGGGCCGCGCCCTGGATGTGATGCAAACGCGGCGAGCGAGTGCCGTGTGTCGGCCGAACGCCGGAGGCCCAGGGAGGTTCGTCAAATGGACCGGGTCCCTCCCGTTCCCTTTGCAAGCTGTGGGCTCTGGGGTTCCGGAAGGCTGCCAGTTTTTGTTTGGATACGAGTTGTGATCTTTTGCCCGGGAGCTTCTGTTTTAAATCAAATGCCACGCCAAGGTGCCTCCTTTTGCCATGGCCACTCAAGGTCTGCCATTCAAGGTCTGCCCCAAGAGTGCACATTTGCCGACTTCGGTTTCTCGAGCACTTTGGCCTTGTTTCTAGCTTCAATTCTAACATTCGCAAAGGGACCCCAGACGTTTGCAGATGCCCATCTCGCCTGAACGGGCTCGTCCTTTGGGCTAAGTGAAGGTGCGGGATAGCGGTTTGTCTCAAGACCTGAACCCCGGAAATGGGTTGCCTTTCGGTTCCCCGGGACCAGGCCCAAAAAAGCTTCCCTCAGAGACACCCAACCCCGGCCCATTGTAAAAGACTGCTAAGCATCACCCCTCCAATCATACTTAAATGTTCATTTGTCGACTTAGCAAGATGCCCGGCAAAACGGGTTCATTTGGTTCCCCAAAACTGGAGGGGTTCCCAGATCCCCCAAGCGGTGCCGCAACGAAATCCTTGGGGTGATGGACCCACTTTCGAGTCTCGAGGCCTCTTTCCTGCGCCAGCTGCAGAGCTTCGAAGCCGCCGAGAGACAACCCGCAACCGCGGGGACCGGTCTGGTCGCGGCAAATGGAACGCGAAAACGCGGAGAGGTTGGAGGGCGGGGGCTCATTGCCCTGAAAACAAGACGCACTGCATGTGAAGTCCCTATAAGTTCGGACATCAACTTTGCAGAACAGTGCAATATTTGTAGTGTTGTGTATATTTAGGGAGCGTTTTGTGTCCTAATTTGGTTGTGGAGCTCCAAGCTACTCGTAGGCCGCGGCTGGAAAGCGACCTGTCACCCTTTGACTCATGAGGGATCCGGTGTGTTCGACCCCTATCTGGTTCTTTGGGCCCATCAATGAAAGGTATAATGGAAATCCAAAAAGGTTTGGTTGGAAAAGATGGTCCCGTGATGCGCCAGGTGCACGCGATCATTGCCTTATCTTATCCGCCGGCTCAAGCTTCCATGGACCATATCAAAGTTGCGAGAAGAGTCCAACTTCAGGTCGTGGGACGAGCGGGGATGCCATAAGCGGCCAGAAGGCAAAACGAGCGCCCCAGATGCCGGCCGTGGCGGCAATGCTCACGGCTTTTTGCTGAAGCACAATGTACGCTAAGCATTTGCCGGACATCAGAACAAGCAGGATATTTACCGTTTTTGGACTCCCATTAAAAGTCATGCCAACTTTATGTGAAAAGGAGAAGCCCACGCCACTTGAAGCACTGGAAGTTTCGAATGCCAAGCATTCCGTTTGCGCCATGTCTTCTCCGTCGCCAGAGGGCCAGGAGCTCAGGAGATGGCTTTCTTTGATCAGTTTGGTCGAACATAGATAGCTACGGTCACTGTATATTCATCGCAAGTGTCCCACTGGCATTGTTTTTTGGTGTAGCTCCGTTTTGCTGACAGTATTTTGGCGCTTTTTGGCGAGGGTGACCCATGTCATTTCCTTTGCAGGAGAGGGTCTGGTCTCCGTTTGTTTCTTCGTTGTTTCATCATTCACCAGCGGCATCGTCCAAAAGACACTCAGGGCAGGTGGGCGATGGGCAGTTTGAGGGGAAGGTGGGGTTGTGGCTGAATTGGGAGTTGGTTCCGCTTTGTGATCCCGGGAAGCTGCCTGACGAAGTATTGTTCTTGGGTGCCACACGCAACCTGTATTTGCGTGTAGTTGTGCGCTGCCGCTGGCCCAATCAGAACTAGACTATAGAGCAATATCGAGAAATCCTGACGTTGTGTTCATCCTGGTGCAGAGTGCGTGTGCTTGGACGGATGGCCGTGCAAATGCATGTGTGTGATCGGAGCTTCCAACGGGGCACAGTGGCCCTTTCTTCTGCGAATGAATCCTCTGGTGATTAAACATATTGCTCTAAGAGTCTCAGCCATGGCAAAGGCCGGGACAAAAGATCCAGAACACTTTCACGCATATATGACATCATTCAGACGTTCGACGCAATGTGCGCTTGCATGGCAGATCTTGTGTGGGCAGATCTTGTGTGGGCAGATCTTGTCCGGCGGCGCGACAACGTGTGCATTTCGCCTTGAAGGTGAAACAAAAACAGTGTCATGCATTTGTAATATGCCCTAATTCCAGCCACGGTAACAGTTAACAAGCATGCCTTCAGGACATGTTTCTCAGGCTCGAGGTGTGAAGGGGCAATGCCCGCTCAGCTTCCCGGCAACCTTGTTTGTGGAGTCTTCGAATTCTACGAACCTTGCAGGGACAGCGGGCCAGGATGCCCGCTTACCACGCAAGCCGTTGTGCAGCACAGGCCAAGCTTCTGCGCACGCACCCGTCGTTGCACCTGGGTGACACCCAACAGATCTCTACTCGTTGCAACGGAGCCAAAGAGCTCCAAAAGGACAAGTGCAGATGAAGTTGCGAGGCAAACATCCTTGGGCGTGTTTGCACTGAAGGGGCGGAAATCAGCGAGCTTGTTGAATTTCTGAAGAGGGCAAGTGCCTTTCTCACACCCAATCATGGAACTTGGCAATCAGGAGTTTCCCCAGTCTTGCATTTCACGTTTCACGGCCCCTTCCCAATGTCCACACAAGCCTAGATTGAGGAAGCCCGGATGGCCGGAGTGTCTGCCCCCAAACCCACCCTTACTCAACCAACACCCTAAACCCACGCAAAACTCACCCTAAACCTACCATAAGCTCCAAGAAACCAACAACTCATCCTACACCAGCGCCCTAAATCAACCCTGAGCACCGTAAGCCCGCCAACGCTACTCCAAAACCCACTCTAAACCCACCCACACAATCCCAGCAAATGTGAAATTTATACCCGGAACAAAGGGGCAGGAATTTGCACTGATGAGCGGCCGACCAATTAACCGACAATTGATTCTGTATTGATATGGCCGGAATACCATAAAAAGTAGAAAGCGAGTTGGTCCCGCCAAACCAAAAAGATCAAAACGAGATAGTTTCGTAGCAAACCTTGCAAAACGAGACTTTCCTGCCAGTGGCCTGGACCGACTAGCTGCGACAGAGTAGATCTTAAGCTTTTCGAGCTCCCGTCATCGGCCCACCATCTGACAGCAGTGGTGCTTTGCAGTTAAGCCGCTACAGCGCCAATTGTGATTTTGGCTGGGTGCCGTGGAAGCTCCGCGGATTTGAAATGCGGAAGCTTCGGCACGCCCGTGATGTCTCAGGGATACCCGATGAAGACAGGACGTGTTTAGTCGCTTTTCGCGGCGCGGAAGGCTTGCGGCAGCTCGGTGGAAGTAAGCCAGGTTATGGTTCTGGCGCGCTATAGGTCGGTGTTCAACGATCGAAGTGCTAGCACGCATTCTGGAATATGGATTCAAAACGGCACCGGGGCTGGTTCTTGATGCTATGAAACTTTTTCCTTCATTCTTTTACCAGTCATGTTGTCCTTCTCGAACAACAGCCGGGTGACCTTGTACGGGTCAAGATGCTGGAGCTGCCGGAATTCGTCTCCAACCTGCACATTGGCCGCCCAGCCTCCCACCCCCACGTAAGGCAGGAATGTGGTGGTCTGCGCAGGAGGAGAAGACGGGAGGCGCCTGGAGCACATACTGTTTGGGGGTTTGCCGTGAGAGAGAACACCTGTCCAGGGGCGCCACACTTCAGACATGGCGGGCTTCGTGACGGTGTAAGCGTTCAGGGCCACCTCCATCACTTTGCCAAACCGTTAGATCATATGGTTGCCTGCCATGCGCCCAACATCACGGTTGCGATCACCACCGATGCATTCGATGCATCAGCCTCTGCGTCATCATGATGGGGGTCAACAACGTGGACAGCACCAGATGCCGCTGCATGGGCAGCGACAACATTAGGAGGTGCCGCGTGGGCAACATCAGCAAGTGCTGCATGGGCAACATCAGCAGGTGCTGCGTGGGCAAAGACAACAGTTCGTGGGCAACACGAACAGGCGCTTCATGAGCAACAGGCGCTGCGCGGGCAACAGGTTCTGCATGGGCCACAGCCAAGTGGTGATCAGCAGCAGCAACAGCAGCAGCATCAGCAGCACCTTCGTCGTCGGAATCAGCAGATACCTTGACCTCCCGATTTCACGACACCTTTAGGTCGGGAGTGGCCCGCCCAAAAAAGGTCAAACCGTACCCAACAGCTATTTTATCGCGCAAACACCAGACTGCCCTCTTGGGGAACGGCTCAAGTTTAAAGTTCCCCAAGGCATCATACTAGGTGTAGCGCAGGAAGTACACTTTGGCGAACTTCTTCGCCAATCTTCCTCCCTTACTTGTCAGAAAATATCGGACAGTCACTTACTCTCAACCGAGCAGCGCTCAACATCTGCTGAATCTTGCAGTGTGTGCGCGCCAAAATTTCTGCAGCCCCTATGGACTGGTGTGGGACCAGTCCCAAAGCTCAAACTCATGCCTGGGTGCGCCCCCCCCGCTCCAGAACCGTGTGCGGTCACGGTCTTTTGGGTGAAGACTCAGCTCAAGTCAAAGAAATCTCTCAGTAGAGGGAGCAGAAGAAAGTCCAAGCCAGAGAGTTGGGGGCCCTTAATATTTCAATCCCAAGAGTATCCAACACAAATGCTAGAAGATGTCCTTTGTAAGGGTACTACTTTTGGGATGGTTACATGGCATGGGCAATTAAAGGGGAGGCACACATTTCAAGAAACCAGAATGCAGGCTGCATGCATTGAATTATCGCAACATGACACGAATGTGCACCGGTGCACCCTTCTTGTGAGCCACATGATTGCAAGCGGCATGCGATACGCAGCACACATGCAACACGGCAACCACGCGGCACGACAGTTCCCGCACGCGTGCCTCCAAAGCCGCCTGCTTCTCGTTCACATCCGCACCCGCCGGCACGGCGTAGTTCTCCGCCCTTAGGCCAGGTAAACCGATTCGTGTCATTTGTTGAATCTCACCTGAAACAACAGTGACACGTGTTGAACGATCCCATCATCATCATCATCATCATCATCATCAGCCGTGTTGCATGTGTGCTGCATATCGCATGCCGCTTGCAATCATGTGGCTCACAAGAAGGGTGCACCGGTGCACATGCGTGTCATGTTGCGATAATTCAATGCATGCAGCCTGCATTCTGGTTTCTTGAAATGTGTGCCTCCCCTTTAATTGCCCATGCCATGTAACCATCCCAAAAGTAGTACCCTTACAAAGGACATCTTCTAGCATTTGTGTTGGATACTCTTGGGATTGAAATATCAAGGGCCCCCAACTCTCTGGCTTGGAATTTCTTCTGCTCCCTCTACTGAGAGATTTCTTTGACTTGAGCTGAGTCTTCACCCAAAAGACCGTGACCGCACACGGTTCTGGAGCGGGGGGGGCGCACCCAGGCATGAGTTTGAGCTTTGGGACTGGTCCCACACCAGTCCATAGGGGCTGCAGAAATTTTGGCGCGGACACACTGCAGGATTCAGCAGATGTTGAGTGCTGCTCGGTTGAGAGTAGGTGACTGTCTGATATTTTCTGACAAGTAAGGGAGGAAGATTGGCGAAGAAGTTCGCCAAAGTGTACTTCCTGCGCTACACCTAGTATGATGCCTTGGGGAACTTTAAACTTGAGCCGCTTTGCCAAGAGGGCAGTCTGGTTTTTTCGC